AGAACCACTGACAGAAGGAGCAGCCAATATATTGAAGGATCAGGCCTGCTCAATTCAGATAAATACGTAAACCCCTAGCTTCTTTTTAAAATCCCAGGCTGAGGAGTCCAAAACACGACGGAGGTTACATTTCTTGCCATCCTGATTGCAATGCTGAAGACCAGATTTAATTAGATTTAAGATAAAGAAAGCAATATGGTTTTGCGTGCATAGTTGTTAAATTACTCAATAAAACAGGTGAAGAAACCAGTTCCCGAAGCAACTTAGTCCTCAGTGGGAGCCCCACGTAGGGAAAAACAGAAACGCATTAAAATCCCGAATCCAGCCCTGGCCAGTTTGGCTCAGCGGTTAGAGCGTCGGCCTGCGGTCCGGACAGACCCGGGTTCGGTTCCCGCTAAGGGCACGTACTTCGGTTGCGGTTTGTCCCCGGCCCTGGTTGGTCGTGCGGGTGGCAGCCACTCGATGTGTCCCTTCACGTCGATGTTTCTCTCTCTCTCTCCCTTCCTCTCTCTCCCTCCCACTCTATCTGTACAAAAAATGGAAAAATATCCTCGGGTGAGGATTAAAAAAATAAAAAAATAAAAAAATAAAAAAATAAAATCCCGAATCTGCCGGGTGAAATATCCAAGCTCTGCTGACTTCAAATACTGCACCTACAAAATACAGACAGACGGTAGTCGCAGACTAATGGGGCGACCACAGGATTAGCTGAGAGAGAGTCAGCAAGATATAGAAGCTCTCTTACCCAATTTCCCCTCCACCAGCTCGCCCGTTGACCATCTCTTTCTTCCTGCCCGAAGCCCCCTGGCGGAGGCCAGCAGCTGGCTCGCAGCCCACGAGCCCTTCCCCGACACTAGCCTGCCAGCGGAGTCGGAGACGGTTCAGAATCAGCTACATCTGTTATCAAACCTGCTCGTTAGTTGTATTTATACTATAATAATGTCATTTAACTAAATATTACTTAAATCTATGAAATATGAGTGCAAAAAGAACGAACATTATTGTTTCTATGAAAGATAACTTGAATGCCTTGGAAAGTCTCCAGAAAGGCAAGTTGTTAAAATAAATTACTCTCAGATTACATGCACCTGAGACTCCTGTGGAGGGGGGAAACAGAAAAGTCTAGAAACCCTGTGCTTCCACATACCTTTAAGACTTTGTTCCACTTGAAAGGATTCTAAACTGGAAATCTTAGATAATGGATCACAGGTGCGGTTTCTGCAAGAATAATGATTTGGAACGTCGGTCAGGCACCATCTTCAAAGAAGGGGTCTCAGCCTTAAATCACATTCATGTTTGAAGTTAAAGTAAAATGTTTAAGTTCTGAGTATATCACTTTGCATGATTCCCCTTTTCAACTGACTTTTTTTTTTTTTTAATCCTCACCAGAGGATATTTTCCCATCCATTCTCAATAGAGTGGGAGGGAGGGAGAGAGAGAGACATCAGCGTGAGAGACATATCAATTGGCTGCCTCCTGCACGACCCCGACAAGGACTGGGCACCAAACCACAACCGAGGTACGTGCTCTTGACCAGAATCGAACCTGTGACTCTTTGGTCCTCGGACCAACACTCTAACCACTGAACCAAACCAGTCAGGGCTAAACTGACTTTTTTTTTTTAATCCTTTTTTTTTCCATTTTTTGTTCAGTTAGAGTGGGAGGGAGAGAGAGAAAGAGAGAGAAGCATCGACGTGAAAGGGACACATCGAGTGGCTGCCACCTGCATGACCATCCAGGGCCGGGGACAAACTGCAACCGAGGTACATGCCCTTAGCGGGAACCGAACCCAGGTCTCTCTGGACCGCAGGTCAACGCTCAAACCACTGAGCCAAACCGGCCAGGGCTAAACTGACTTTTTAACAGACCTAAATACCTGTCCGACTCACATTGGGTAAAAAGTGTTCCCAGCACTTGGCACTCACTAAATGTTAGTTCCTCTCCCACCCCCACCGCTTTGGAAAGTCCATTTGGTTTCACACCCAAATGCCATTTCTGTTCTGTAACATTTCACCAGCAGGCACACACTGCTGGGGTGCCTTCGTCGCACCAAACCAGTGCTATTTGCAAAGAACATTTGGGGCCCAGGACATTTCCATTTTACACATTCCAGAAGCCTCACCCCAAAGCCCAGCAGAATCCAGGGAGGCCTGAGGGAGGTGGGGTGCAGGGAGTGCTCATGAACAGTCATCCAGTTTCTAAGGAAAATAACCCCCCTCGACCACCTAGCACTCCAGTGACGATGGGCCTTCTGAAGATGTCAGTTGACCTCCCGGTACCCCTCTGAGCTGGGTCAGTATTGTTCTTTGCCACTTCGCTTAGGGACTGGAACACATAAGTCAACAGCCTTACTTAAGTCAGCACCACAATTAATAGAGGAGATGGGTGAGACCCCCAGTTGCTGAGGTTGCTGGCGTCTGCCCTAGTCTCTGTTTTTTCAGTTTGGCTCCCTTCCCAAGTGCTTATGTGTGTTTGCTGACCACAGTGATACCTTTATGTATAGTGTGTGTGGACATGTGTGCAGGTGCATATGCAATTCTCTACACGTAGCTTTGCTCCCTGTGGGAAGCCCTGGAGAAGAAGTTGCATGAGTCATGCTTCATCCCCCTTCATCTTCTCCAACCCCTCCACTGATGGGAAAGATCAGTTCTCCCCCAGCCTTTCTGCATCGCTTGTTTCTCAAAGGGAGAAGCAGGGGCCAAGGCCACTGCGAACCTTCCCAGTCTGTCCACAGCAATGGAAAAGGCTGCGGAAAGAGCCCCCGCAGGCTAAAGGGCCGCAGCCCAGAGAGAAGCTCCGCAGAGGACCTGGCTACCCTGCCTCAGCTATCCTCGGACGTCTCACCCTGTCAGCAGGACGCCTTGGTGCCTGCGAACAGCCCTGCCCACGGTCTCCCCTGCCCCTGCTAGAATGCATAGAGAGCGTGGTCATAAATTGTGGCAGTGGCATGAGGTGTTTTTATGGAGAAAAATTTATGCCAACATCAGCTGCGGAGCAAAGTCAGGTTGGCCACAGGCGGAATATAAACAGGAAAGATTGAGATGATCTTGTCCCCTCTCCAGGGCCAACCCTGAGGCTCTGGGACCAACATGCATTCACCCACAAACGTCTGTCAAGGCGCCGCTGTGCACCGCACCAGGGTCGGCTCTGGGTGCTGGCGCTCGGGGAGAAGCCCAGGAACCCAGGGAGGAGGAGAAGGGCGGGGACAGGCTGGGAACATGGATGAGGGGGAGACTGGAGATGAGATGTGGGCTTGGTGCAGTTTCCGTGGCTGCCTGGCGTTGACTGGCACTCACTGGGCTGTCATGCGTGCTGGCCCAGGACTCCACCCAAGGCCCAGGGCCATTCCTCCAGCGCCTGTGCTTCCCTCTCCAAACTGGGAGACCTACCCAGGGGGTTCCTCACCCCCCACGGCAGGCAGGGCTCTGTGCCATGCAAAACAAGCAGGGACATGAAAGAATCCCTCATCCTGGTCTTGGGAATAGGAAATGGGAATGGACCTCAACTGCTTTGTCTCTCGGTTAACTCTGATTTTCCAGGCCACACGTGGGCCCAGAAATCCCTCGGGTGGTCAGTCGTTCTCGGCTTGTAGTTTGAGATGAATGTAAAAGAAGCCCTATCACTATTACCAAAAAGACAAAAAGCAAGTTTTGGTGGGAATGTAAATTGGTGCAGCCATTATGGAAAACAGTATTGAGATTCCTCAAGAAATTAAAAATAGAACCATCATTCTACTTATGGGTATTTATCCAAAGGAAATAAAGTCAATGTCTTGAAGACATATCTATACCCCAGTGTTTACTGCAGATTTATTAACAACAGCCAAGACATGGAAACAACCTAAGTGGATTAAAATGTGAGCTAAACACACACACACACACACACACACACACACACACACACATTCAGCTATACTGTGAGTGCAACAATATGATTGGGCATTAAGGGCATTATGGGAAGTGAAATAAGTCAGACAGAGAAAGACATACTGTATGATCTCACTTACACGTGGAATCTAAAAAACTCAAATTCAAAAACAGAGTAGATTGGTGGTTGCCAGGGGCTGAAAAGTGGGGGATATAGGGAGATGTTGGTCAAAATGTCCAAACTTCCAGCGATAAGAGGACTAAGTTATGGTGACCTAACGTACAGGGTGACTACAGTTAGCAGTGCTGCATTGTATACGGGAAAATCTCTAAGAGTAGATCTCAGATGTTCTCACAACAACAACAAATTATAATGGCAGGAAGTGACATCAACATTGTGGAAATAAGCCCTGGTTGGTGTGGCTCAGCGGTTAGAGCGCCGGCCCGTGGACCAGAGAGTCCCGGGTTCGGTTCCCACTTAGGGCACGTACCTCGGTTGCAGTTTGTCCCTGGCCCTGGTTGGGGTCATGTGAGAGGCAGCCACTCGATGTGTTTCTCTCACATCGATGTTTCTCTCTCTCTCTTCCTCCCACTCTCCCTCCTGCTCTATCTGAAAATAAATGCAAAAATGTCCTCTGGTGAGGATTTAAAAAAAAAAGTTGTGGAAATAAGTTCATAATATACTTTCACATCAAATCATCACACTGCACCCCTTAAACTTACACAATGTTATATGTCAATTACATCTCACTAAATCTGGGGGAAAGCAAAGTGAGCATATCACAGAAAGCTAACATTTACAAATGTGTCCTTACTCTTTCAAAAAATCACACATTTCGAGGTAGGATTGCGGAGTTGCTGAAATACTGACTGTTCTTACGTTTAAGAAGACCTGGAGTCCTAGCTCTGTCCCAGACTAGTTCTGGGTCAGTTGCTTCCGACACTCAGATGCCTTTGCTTATTCATTTAGCCCCATAGGTAGGGTGTGGGCTTCAGACGTTGTGCTGAGCCCGTTGGTTTCAGGTCCCTCTTCTCTGGAGAACAGAGTCCTTCTTTCATGCCCTGCCTCTGTGAACAGTTACCATCAGAATCTCTATATGTGCCTCGTTATGTTGCCAGGACCACTTTCTAAACTCAGCTGGGAGGAAAACTAGCAGCGGGTAAGGTGGTAAGGTGGTAGGTGGTAAGGTGGTAAGGTGGTAGGTAGTAAGGTGGTAGGTGGTAAGGTGGTAGGTGGTAAGGTGGTAAGGTGGTAGGTGGTAAGGTAAGGTGGTAGGTGGTAGGTGGTAAGGTGGTAGGTGGTAAGGTGGTAGGTGGTAAGGTGGTAAGGTGGTAAGGTGGTAGGTGGTAGGTGGTAAGGTGGTAGGTGGTAGGTGGTAAGTGGTAGGTGGTAGGTGGTAAGTGGTAGGTGGTAGGTGGTAAGGTGGTAGGTGGTAGGTGGTAAGGTGGTAGGTGGTAGGCAGTAAGGTGGTTAGGTACTAAGGTGGTAAGGTGGTAGGTGGTAAGGTGGTAGGTGGTAAGGTGGTAAGGTGGTAGGTAGTAAGGTGGTAGGTGGTAAGGTGGTAGGTGGTAAGGTGGTAGGTGGTAAGGTAAGGTGGTAGGTGGTAAGGTGGTAGGTGGTAGGTGGTAAGGTGGTAGGTGGTAAGGTGGTAAGGTGGTAGGTGGTAAGTGGTAGGTGGTAAGGTGGTAAGGTGGTAGGTGGTAAGGTGGTAGGTGGTAAGGTGGTAAGGCGGTAGGTGGTAGGTGGTAAGGTGGTAGGTGGTAGGTGGTAAGGAGGTAGGTGGTAAGGTGGTAAGGTGGTAGGTGGTAGGCGGTAAGGTGGTTAGGTACTAAGGTGGTAAGGTGGTAGGTGGTAAGGTGGTAAGGTGGTAAGGTGGTAGGTGGTAAGGTGGTAGGTGGTAGGTGGTAAGGTGGTAGGTGGTAAGGTGGTAGGTGGTAGGCGGTAAGGTGGTTAGGTAGTAAGGTGGTAGGTGGTAAGGTGGTAGGTGGTAAGGTGGTAAGGCGGTAGGTGGTAGGTGGTAAGGTGGTAGGTGGTAGGTGGTAAGGAGGTAGGTGGTAAGGTGGTAGGTGGTAAGGTGGTAGGTGGTAGGCGGTAAGGTGGTTAGGTAGTAAGGTGGTAAGGTGGTAGGTGGTAAGGTGGTAAGGTAATTGCCCACATTCACACCTGTCTGGTTTATTTAAAGAGGCCACAGCCCTGTGACAGAGGCCATGGTGCCCCCCAGGTTCGACCGCCAGTTTCAAGGTCAGGAGATTGGCTGCTGAGAGCCCCACCTGAGGACTGCCCTTATATGTAGGACGTGCCAAGCACCCAGGTGGCACCTCCTCATCCTGTGGGGTCCAAAGGCCAGACCCTGACCTCATTTTAAGAAAACTCAGAGGGTGGCCCCAGTTTCAGAGTCTCTGTGCGATGAGTTCAGGCCTTTGTTAGTGCTGCATCACAGTTCAACTCCCCCTTCTGCCTCCCACACTCCCCCAGGACCCCCTCAAGGCTCCATCTCTGAGTCTGCCTCTCAGCAGAGAGCCTGAGGCAGCTACCAACCCTCACCCACTAGTGGCTGCCTTAAGCCAGGCTCCAGCCAACGTTTTAGTGACAACAGGAACATTGCCTTCCTGCTGCACCTTCCAGTCTCTTCCCAGGTTCAGGGTGTGTGTGTGTGTGTGTGTGTGTGTGTGTGTGTGTGTGTGAGTGTCCCTTCCAGAGGAACTGAGAATAAACCAGGTGACGTCCTGTGTGTAACTGACTATGAGATTAGGTCGAGTTGGCTAATTGAGACTCATTCACTGCCACCTTCTCAGATGAAAGCTACTGTGGGGCTGGCATAGAAAATGATTAACCTTACTGGAGTTCACGCAGCTTATGTGAGCTGAGAGACCCCATTTTCCCTTCTGGAGCCATTAATTAATGAGCCTGTTTCTTCCCCATCCCTCATTCCCATTATAACTTTTTTCCATTGTCATTCTGTGCAATTCCCCAACTGACAGCACAAATGCAGATTTGGAGAGGGCACACTGTGCCCCGGGATGTTAACATCTGTTTCTGTGGAGATGCTCCTTTTGCTTGGAAGCATATCACAGCCAAGCTAATGTGAGGAGCAGCTGTCTTGAGAGACACCAGCAAGGGACCCAGAGGCACTGAAAATCCTCACTAATGTAAATGAGCGTGGTTTACACTTGGCAGGATAAGTAAATGGTGTGTTTTTAAATGAGAAGACCTGAAGCATTGTAGGTAAAACAGGAGGCCTCCCTTCGCAGCTGTGCAGATGGACAGCTCAGATCCTCGTGATGGATACTAGAGGCGTGTACTTTCCCGTATCAACAGCTCATTGGAATTCACCTGGTTATTTGCAAACAAGGTTACTGACCTGCACTATTGCCAAAAGAGATGTACTGCTTTCTCATAGTGCCCCTTTTTCTTATGCTTCTGGTTGTGATCTTGGATTGCTCCCATCTTGCGATGGAGAGCAGAGAGAAGCTGGAAGGCTAGTTCAGCTGGAGGTGCCTAGAGATTCTGCAGATCTCAGGCCAGTGTCCAGTGGGACTAAGTCCCACCAGCTAAGGGAGTCTTTCAGGCTGACATGAAAGGACACTAGACAGTAACCTGAATTTACGTGAGAGAGTAAGGAACACTAATAATAGTAACTAAACATGTAAACATGTATTTTGTTTGTAACTGTTTTCTATCTGATTTAAAAGACAACTGCATAAAACAATAATTATAAAACTGTGTTTATAGACTTGCATTAGATAAGGTTGTCATTTGCATTGCAATAATAGTACAGAGGAGAGGAAGGACACAGAGTTATATCAGAGCAAAGTTTTTGTTTATTATTTAAATTAAGCTAGTTTTAATCTGAACCATATGGTTTTAAATTAAGATGTTAATTGTAATCTCCAGGGAAACCACTAAGAAAATAATTTAAAATATAGTAAAGATACAACAAGGGAATAAGAATATGTTAGAAAATACCTAACTAAAAAGAAAGCAGTCACAAATGAAGAGAACAAAAAAAAGACATAAAAATAGCAAAAACAAATAGCAAAATGGCAGATGTAAATCCTACCTCATCAGTTATTACTCTAAATGTAAATGAACTAAACAACTGAAGGTAGAAATGATTAGCAGCATAGTTTTAAAAAACTACAGTTCAACTATGTATGCTGTCTATAAAAGGCACACTTTAGAGTTAAGACACAATAGGTTGAAAGTACAAGGATGAGCCCAGCTGGTGTGGCTCAGTGGTTGAGCATCAACCCATGCACCAAGAGGACACTGGTTCAATTCCCGGTCAGGGCACATGCTCAAATTGTGGGCCTAATCCCCAGTGGGGGGCATGCAGCAGGCAGCCTATTAATGTTATCTCTCAGCGATGTCTCTATCTCTCTCCCTCTCCCTGCCTCTCTCTTTAAAAGCAATACAAAGAAAATAAAAAATAAATTAAAATCAAAAAAAGAAAGTACAGGATGAAAAAGATGCAACATACAGGTAGTACCCAAAAAGGAGTAGCTATGCAGACAAAATAGTCTAAGACAAAAATTGTTACTATAAGAAAAGAACATCTGCCCTGGCCGGTTTGGCTCAGCGGTTAGAGCATCGGCCTGCGGTCCTGAGGGACCCAGGTTCGGTTCCCGCTAAGGGCACGTACCTCGGTTGCAGTTTGTCCCCGGCCCTGGTCAGTTGTGCGGGTGGCAGCCACTCGATGTGTTCCTTTCACATCGATGTTTTTCTCTCTCTCTCTGTCCCTCCCACTCTACCTGAACAAAAAATGGAAAAATGTCCTCGGGTGAGGATAAAAAAAAAAAAAAAAAAAAAAAAGAACATCTTACAATCCATCAGAAAGATATAGCAATTTTAAACCTGTATGCACCTAATAAGAAAGCCCTCAAATACTTAAAGGAAAACTTATAGAATTGAAAGGAGAAATTGACAATTCAACAACAGTTGAAGAGTTCAATAACCTACATTCAATAACGGATAAAACAACTAGGCAGAATACCAACAAAGAAATAAAGAACATGAGAAGAGATATTTCTTCCCTGGTGAAAAGACAGCCTGGCTATCCCTTATCACCATGTCCCATGAGAGGGAAGAAAGAGAAGGGTTCAGGAGCACCAGCAAAGGAGTGTTCACAAAAGAATTTTAACATCTTTGTTTCTCCGGGAGAAGTCTGTCCACCCCCAGCAACTGATCCATTTGCTGGCCCTTAGTCCACAGCAATACTTCTCATTAGTACGGTGGAATGAAAGCGAGTCCTTAAGCTTCCGTAAACAAATTAAAGAGTGTCCTGTCTTCTTCTTTATAAACTGGATTAACTACCTGTCATTTAGAGAAATGAGGGCAGCCCTGGCCGGTTTGGCTCAGCGGTTAGAGCATCGGCCTGCAGTCCGGAGAGACCCGGGTTCGGTTCCCGCTAAGGGCATGTACCTTGGTTGCAGTTTGTCCCTGGCCCTGGTTGGTCGTGCGGGTGGCAGCCACTCGATGTGTCCCTTTCACATCGATGTTTCCCTCTCTCTCTCTTCCTCTCTCTCCCTCCCACTCTGTCTGTGCAAAAAATGGAAAAATGTCCTCGGGTGAGAATAAAAAAAAAAAAAAAAAAAAGGAGAAATGCGGGCACAAGAAAATGACATCAACCTCCCAGCATTCCTGAAAATGTCATGGTAGGGTCATTCACCTGGGGAATCTGGGAATGTTTGGAAGTAAGTATCAGGCACCACCTTTAATTTAGATCCCTTAGTGTGATATATATGTTTTTAAATATACGGAAAAAGAAGAGTGTACAAAATTTACTTAGACATCAATAGAAGAAAAATTTTTTTAAAATTAAAGAATTAATTTAAATTTAAGAATAAATCATTTATTTTGGTAAGGGTGTGGAGAAAAGGGGACACTAGTACACTGCTGGTGGGAATGCAGACTGGTGCAGCCACTATGGAAAACAATATGGTGTTTCCTTAAAAAATTAAAAATTGAATTGCCATTTGACCCAGTGATTCCACTTCTAGGAATATACCCTAAGAAGCCTGAAATACCAATCAGAAAGAATATATGTACCCCTATGTTCATAGCAGCACTATTTACAATAGCTAAGATCTGGAAACAGCCCAAGTGTCCATCAGTAGACGAATGGATAAAAAAGCAGTGGTACATATAGACAATGGAGTACTATGCAGCTGTAAGAAAGAAAGATCTCTTATCCTTTGAGATGACATGGAGGGGGGGGGAAGAATATTATCTGGAGAATATTATCCTAAGTGAAATAAACCAAGCAGAGAAAGACAAATATCACATGATCTCACTTATTTGTGGAATATAATGAACATAACAGTCTGAGGAACAGGGTAGACCCAGAGACGTAGAAGTAGGGTACAGACTGACAACCCTCAGAAGAGGGGGAGAGAGGGAGAGAAGAGATAAACCACAGAACTTATATACATGTATGCCTAACTGATGGACATGGACAACAAAGCTGGGAATGGGGTGGGGGATGGGGAGGAGCGTATCAAAGGGGAAAAAAAGGAGAAACATCTGTAACAAAAATAAATTAATTTTAAAAAAAGAATAAATAATTTATTTTTATTAACTAATAAAAATGAAAGAATTGTCATCTCATTTGAAAAGGCCTAGATTTTTCTACTCATTAATACCTGAAAAAAAATCTGGTGCTTTTTCTTCTCTCAAAAGTTACAAACATTTTGCTACTTAACTGGAAAAACCATGATGAATTGATTTAAGTTCAACGCTCCGCTGGGAAGTCACTGCAGCATACATTAAACCTGAGCTTCTGTTACCTTGTAATTTATTGACTAATTCCTTCAGTCAAGTCCATTTAAGGGCTTTAATAGATTTCCAGTGTAGTTTAATGACTTTTTGCTGGTGCCCTCCTAGAATAGTAATTTTTAGCATTCTTTTAAACAACTTTATAATCTTGCATTAGTTAATCTCCTCCATACTCCAATGAGGTTACGTGAAAATTATTTCATTTTATAGACGAAATAGTGGAGTGATGCTCATAAGAGCGTACCTCAAATTGATCGACCTTATTTGTTAAATGTGAACATTCTTGGGCTCCGCCCCAAATACTTGGATTCAGTAGGTCTGATTAGCCACGGGACCTTGTGGTTTTACATAAGCAGTCATGATGAGAATAATAAAGAACCACATTTTTAAAAACTATCTTAATCCACAGCTCTCTAGAGAAGAAATCTGTTGCTTTTTTAAATATAGCAGATCACCTACCTTGACTCGATCCCTACAACCTTACTTTCAGGTTCCACTGTAAAATAGGGTTAGTGTTGGGTGACACATGGCACAACGTTTTTTTATCCTCACCCAAGGATATTTTTCCATTTTTTGTTTAGATAGAGTGGGAGGGAGAGAGAGAGAGAGAGAAACATCGACGTGAAAGGGACACATCAAGTGGCTGCCACCGCACGACCAACCAGGGCCAGGGACAAACCACAACCGAGGTACGTGCCCTTAGCAGGAACCAAACCCAGGTCTCTCTGGACTGCAGGCCGACGCTCTACCCACTGAGCCAAACCAGCCAGGGCACATAACACAACTTTTAAACACAATAAATATAGGGAGAAATTAAGTAATATTTAAAGGGCAACAACTCAAGAAAGTGAGAACTAAAGAGGTAGATGAGGAACTGAAACCGGTTTCACCTTGAAAGCATTTGTCAAACCAGTGGGTTTACATCCTCGAGGGACCACAAGACACAGGAGACGAAGACCTGGCCTGCCCAAGGTGGGGAATGTGCTAGGAAACACCCCCACTATGCTAGGATCCCAAGGGCTATAATCTCAATGCAAAGGTGAATCAGAAGTAAACCCTTCTGAACTACAACATACTGTGAGGAAAATGCTAACTCAGGTTGGCCCTGGATGTACGGGGAGGAAAAGAACTATCTATCCTAGAATTCATAACCATATGATACTTCTCATATCAAACTGTGGGTTTGCAGCCCAAATTCACACTGACTGTATAGTTTGAAAAATGTCAGACTATACATTTTTTTAGAAATGTATAGCTTTTTTAAAAAAAAGGTCCTGGGTCAATCCAATAAGAGAATGTAACATTTGTAATTATTTATGAATTCAATGTAGTAGCACCTGAGTATATAAACAAATATTAACTGACCTAAAGGGAGAAATAGATAGCAATACAGTAATAGAAGAGGAATTCAATATCCCACTTTCAACAATGGAGAGATGATCCAGACAGAAAATTAATATGGAAACATTGGCCTTAAATGACATGTTTGAGCCCTGGCCAGTTTGGCTCAGCGGTTAGAGCGTCGGCCTGAGGTCCGGAGAGACCCGGGTTCGGTTCCCGCTAAGGGCACGTACCTCGGTTGCAGTTTGTCCCCGGCCCTGGTTGGTCGTGCGGGTGGCAGCCA